ATCTTTGGATGGAGGAAAATAAGCAAAAGGCATGAGAGAAGAATGAAAGGAAAAGAAGGAAGAAGGGAGGAAAAAGGAGAAATGATGAAAGCTTTCCAGTTGACAGATATCCTAAGACTCTTCTGCACAGGGAGAATGGTTCATCCATTGCGTACCCTCCGTCCTGGGACATCCGCATTATGGCAGTCCCATTCTGCACGAGGCTTTATTCAAATGCCCCCTCCTAGCCGACTTGTGTCAAGCATGGAAATCAAAAAAGGAAATGTTAAGAATTCCAAAATAGAAAGAAACAGACCTTTGCTAATATGTTAAAATTATATTCCCTCTGTTTTTCATAGTCTAACAACTGAGCCACTCGCAACACTCCTGTCTTCTCGGACACTTCAAAGGGCACAGTCGCATTATCTCTCATTTCCAAATAATACCTAAAAAATCGGTATTTTCAAGGGAAACTTGGGTGAAGTAAACCTTGAGAAGATAACAAATGTAAGCAAAAATGGATAACCTAATATTTTTCTCATCCTGTTTGTACAACGCGCTAGCCGATACTTTTCCAATTACGTAACCAAGCGGCGCAGATTCATTCACGTGGAACGTCGCTGCTGCATCGTCAAATACGATCGAATGCGGCTCGCCAACTTCGATCTTAACCATCATTTACTAGGCAAAAAGTCACAGTAAACACTGCACTCGACTACGGTAAACTCTAATCACCTTGATATTCGCCGTCGTATTGACCATGCCACTTGAGGACGACTCTTGTCCAGCCGATATGGTGACGTTTGTTTTGGACGGGATGAAGCGACCCGGTACCTGTTAATCGATAAACTAATACTGATCATTCAGTTCAAGGTAATGCATAATCCCCATTAAAGAGGGCCCTATACAGGGTACAGCATCATGATGTGTGAAATGGTGGTGTAGGTGCGACCCGCCCCCACCTCGAAATTAGGATCCCCTTTCCCCAGCATGGGCCTACCAATTTCCCACTTTTTCCAGTTTTTAACCCAAAGGGTATATAGTACACATGAAACAGGAAAAATCACGAAAAGTCAACAACCAGGAAAAATTTTTTCCCAACACGGCAAATTTCTCTCAAAGCACATACGACCCTCCCTCCCCCACCTCTCACCCAAAAACCAGCAAATATGACCCCCGTCTCCCAATAACGACCAAACTCCCCTCCCCAGCAGAAGTACGACCCCCTAAGTGTTTCAAACATTATGCTGTACCCTGGCCCTAGATAGATACGCTTCACGACCCCTCTCTCCAATACAGCGTATTTTTCTGGATCAACCGTTTCTAATCCCTAATCCGATAAATTCAAAGTCTTGCCATCGCAATTTTTTTAATTTTTCATTTTACTGATCCCGAATAAAATTTAGCAGCACAGACGCCACTCTTCAAAATTTTATTCGGGATCAGTCTACTGAAGCGGGAAGGAAATTAGGCCAAAACTCATCTTCCGCTATAATCTGACCCCCGACTCTGTTCTCAGGAGTTCAGATCTTGAAACCCTTTTCCGCAGAGTAAATACAACCCCCTCAACGTCTATTTCAACAAAGACAGCTTCTAACACCCTCCCCCCCCTTCCCCAATGAACTACCAGAAAACTTCAAGAGTAAGTTCATGGAATGCATTACTCACAGTCGTTACAGCGCCATTCAAGATTCTCACTTTCCACCAGAGAAAAACCAGTTGCTTCAATCGTCCTTCCAAACCACTCCGACATTAAGATCGGGCACTGACGATGCTTCATTTGATGGAAGATCCACTCGGATTGTTGCAGCTAATTGTTGAACATCTGATCGATAACCGTTTATAGGTTTGTTCGCCACCAGAAGTTTCAGATGACGACGTTTCGACTCAGTTACCGTAATCTAAAAAGGGAATCATCGATGTTTACATAAGGATTGAATCCCTTGAAGAATTCTAACATCAAAACTTACCACCACATCTTTGGTCCATGCTGGCTGGATTTGGTCAGGATCGTCGTAAAACAACCGCGATGTCCGATCTTCAGACCGCACTTGCAGATGATATACACCGCTACGAAGATGTCGCAAGGTACGAAATCCAACCTAAAAGAGATGA